AAAATAAAAAATCTTATTTTTTATTGCAAATTAACCAGTCACCTCTGCTGGGGTATTAAAGTTTCTTTAAGGAGCGCTCGTACATATGAAAACTTACAGATTTTTATGGTTTGAATTTGAAAGAAGTGAAAATACAGGATAGAGTCAGGAACAGTGAATGAATAACAAATACTTTGAGATACTAATTTTGAAATAGAAGCAAAGCTATTTGTAGTTACACTTGGTAACAAAAACTGACAAAAGTGTTAGGAATAAAATGGTGGATCTCTTCTCTACTCCCCTCCTTTTTAATGGAAAAGCCTAATCCCCCTCCAAGTTGTCTCTAACTTGTTATCTTGCTGGTTTTATACCATTTCTTTCATGACTTAGTGAAGTATAAAAAATGATTGTTATAGCTCACCAACATGCATGGTGAGAATTGAAGGATGGAGAGGTGAAATAGAAAATGAAGCCGATTATGAAGCACTGAATGTAGGCAATAGCAATATTAGCTAGGGACTGAGTGCCAAGGACACCCAAGAAATATGAGCAGGGTTGCAGTGCCATCTTATTGAGTATAAGATGATGTAAATGTAGAGGGGCTAGGAAGGGAAACTGGAGAAAAATCTGGCTTACTTGTTTACAAGATTATGTGTATTGTTACTTTCATAGGAATCTTCTGCTTTCTATTCCTCTCTCAGGATGGGAGAGGTAGACGGTTCATTTTGGGACACAAAATATAGTTTAGGCAATGAATAAGGGCCTGCTAGTATATATTTTTTTTAATGTTGGAAGCCAAAAAAAGAGAGAGACAGGTGGCTTTCAAAATTTAATAGCTCTTAAAAGGCGTAAGGAAATATAACTTAAGGAAATGTTCTTGTCAGACATTGGTGAGAAGCTGTGTTTTGGGGGTGATGTTAATTAAGAACATTTCCCTGTTGACATAAATGTCTCACATTTTTGCCCTTGGTGCTCCGCTCACCATGAGCACAGTCAATTCACAAGGTAGTTTTTGTAAATAAAGGTTTTGGGCAAGCCGAACATGGTCCAGAGAGATATTAATGAGAGGGCAAGGGGGAAGAGTTAATGAAAACACACTTCCTGGTGGAACATAAACTGATTTTTGGACCTGGAGAATGCTTTAAAATTATTTTCTCAAAACCCTGTGGCGTTTCCTTTCTGGAGGAGATGAGATGGGAAGAAATGACAAATGGCTCCATTTTATTATTTTCTTTTCTCTTGTTCTCCATATTTGGGGTAGGGAAAATTGGTTTTTATTTTGGTGGTTTTCCTTCTGTTCTCAGAATCAATTATATTTTTAGTGCTCGATGGCATAATAAATATACTCAAGCATCCTCTGGCTTAAGAATAATGAGTTGATTATTAGTATATCCCTTCTTTAAAGGCAGTTAATTGTATGGAAAGCCCCCATCAAATTGTTCCTTCAAACTTTTATTCTCCTGAAATTTGTTTCTAGCTTTGCAAGTATATATAGTTTAGTTGTTGTTCTGCATCATTGGCTTTTGTATATTCTGAGGAAAAAAAATTAGGCTTTTCAATCATGTAATGATCGAAATCTCAGATTTCAGACTGAAATGTAAGACCACTAGTATTTGAGGATCTACAAAATTTTATAGCCTGTATCATTTAAAGGGCACTTGGTTACCTTAGAAGAATGTTGCTTTCTAGAATGTTATGAAAATCAGGAATTGTGGCTAATTTTTTCTTTAGTAAATTGCTGCCTGCTCTGGAATTTTTTCGTCCATTCAAAAGTGTAACTGGGCCACCTAGAATTATCTGTGCTTTTCAGTAAAATAAGAGTTAGATCACGCCTCTTTAGTCAGAGGAAAATTTAGCGAGCCTTCTAGTTTACATATCACTTCACTGTTCCCCCATAGTTACATAATTGGTTTTGTGTGTGTCCATCGTAGAGGACATTTGATGCTCATTTATTAAATATGCTTGCTGGCTGCTGCCGCATCTTTGTTCTGGACAGACAAATTACCTTTCTCACACTGAGCTTCCACTCTGGGGAATTAAGCCTCCACCACTTTAATTAGCTTGGAAGTGGGGGGTTGCAGTTCCTAATAGACTTCAGGCTTTTAGTAAGTTAGGGAAAGGGTGAAATGAGAACTTTCTGGGAAGCTCAAAATGTCATTTAAAAACCATAAAAACCTTATATATATTATTTCATTTTCATAATTGCAAGCAGATTGTATTTGATGACTATGGATTGCCATTTCTAACTTCAGATGTTGAAGTTAGACTTGCGTGGAACTATATTCTTTAATTTCTCACGCATCATTAAGATATTACATGTATTGATTCACATATTTACAATATTAATAAACATTAAGTGACAGAGCAGAATGGAAATATTAAATGAAAAATAATACCTGACTATTTGGACATATAACTTTTCACACACACATACATACACTTACACTCGTACACCTCTGTAGGTAAAGACTAGTATGTCACAAGGAGGTAATAGAATAATAATGATACTGCCAATGTTTATTTAGCTTTCATGAAGGTCCAGGCTTCCTTATATATTAAGTAATTATCACAGCAGCCTTATTACCCCTGCTTTAAAGATGAGGAAACTGAGAGACACACACAGTCTCAGTACTTGCAACAAGTGAGCATGTTAACCCAAAACTTTCTGTATAGGGACTTGGCTCTGAGTGTCTTCATGATTAAAAAAGCCCCAAGATTCCATGACTAGGTAAGACGTTGGTAATAAATTCTTTTTGGAGAGAAATTTGCTTAAACAGAGTTTAAGTAATTCATTGTAGAACTGTACACCAAAAACTTTCTCAAAGTCCATTGACTGTCTCATTTTCTCTGCTAGTAAAACTGCAGAAAATGTTATGCTTTAGTTCTTCACTGCCGGAGTAAGTAGCATAGAAAGGCTCTATCAAGTCACAGTTGGAAAGTAATCTAATAAAAAAAGATTAGTGAATGTAGAGAAGACAAAAGCAGTCGTGTTTGAGTTTAATATCTCTCAAATTTAGCATTTTAGCTAAGATGCCCGTTTTTATTTCTTGCAGGTCTGCTAAAAGGTCAGAGTAATGCAGAATGCGTGCCTTCATCTCAGATTTTGTTCATCACAGGTGGATCCCATGTGTCTTCAGTAGACAAGTCACCTTTGTAGCTAGCACCAGTGCCAGCTCCATGCCATTGCACCTTCTTTAGTCTTGATTGCCCTTCCTGCATTTATTGGTGTATTAAAATGACTGAATATGAACATTAAGGACTCCATGAACCTGGGCTAATGGGAGACTGTAGAGAAAATGAAAAAAGATCCACCGGAGGACATCTTTGGGGGGGAGGGAGCTTGGGGGGAGGGAAATGACTAATGAAGCTAATTAAAAGAAGCATTCAAATCTGCTTTCTACCCTCATTAACAATTAGCAGGGCACTGGCCAGAGTTTGTACCCTGTGTTTTACCTTAACAACATTCTATTTGCTCTTTGTATATTTAAGTGTTGTAAGGAAACGTGTTTCAATCAAAACTGAACATGAGATAAGGAAAGAGATGTGGCTTTTGTGATAATTCTATCACAAACACTTTTATTGTATCTCTGTAAAATACAATGTATGTATGCATGTAAGTGTTTTTGTCCTAATGTTGCTACTCCCATGGCAAAGATTAAAAAAAAAAAAAAAAGAATGAAAAAGAAAAAAAAATTGGAAAAAAAATCAGGCTCATAGCAGCTACTGTGTAGAAATTTCCCCTTACTTCTAATTTGCTGAATGAAGAAAAAAAAATCTTTTATTTGTGATATTTTCAGAGACATTTGCTCTAGTATGGTGTATTTAAATAATAAAAACTTAAAAGAAAAAAATATTCAATGGAGTTTGGGTTTAAACACTGCTTTTTTCTTTTGTATTTTGGAAAAAAATTAGTTTTATTTTGTTGTATGAAAAACTCACTTTAAATTTGAGGGGTGAGGGAGGTGATATATATATTTAGCTCTGGGCCAAAATGGCAGTTTCAAAATTACTTATCTGTGCCATTTTTGGCAGGGGTGCAAAGCAATGTTTCTAACAGAGTCTTTTTTATAAGTTCAGAATATTCTGTTACCCCACTTCATTACACTTCTATATCACAATGAGTCTTGTGTTTACACATAAATACTTGTTGGATTCTTCAGCTATTTTGTTGATTCTTTTTTCTCACTAGGAAAACCTTGGGTGCTGACAAAAGGCATGTTAAAGTATATGGCACAACCATCTTGTTCTGTTATTAGGTTTATAGCTTTTGAAGAGAGCAGCATTTCTAAACCACACCTATGTGTATTTGACGTTCCATTAGCTTAGGGCCCTACAACTCTTGTGTAGGATCATCGATGGGGAAAGCAGCCGTTTCCTGGTGAGCTTTTAGACTGTGTGGTCTGCTGTGAGTGAGAGTTGTTTATTTTGTTTTACTCTTACACTCCTCCACCGACTTTGCCTTTCCATATGTTTGTTGGGGGAGGATTCTAATTTCATTTAGTGGTAGTCTTGAGACAGTGGCTGGGCTGGGCCAAAGAGTCTCTACAGCAGCTGAGATGTGCCCTGAGGGGTCCAGGACTCAGCCTCCTGGTCTTGGAATAAGGAAAAACCAAAGAGGCCTGGGTACCCACCGGGCCTGCACCACCAGGCTCAATGCATGTAAGCAAATCTCAACTACAGCTTCTGCACAGGCTAATACAACCAGGTGTGTTTATATGTCTACTTTCCTTTTTACAAAAATGGCATTTTATTTTACTCTAGAAAAAACCCTCATCCAGACCAACTGATACTAGGAGTAGATAGAATGGAGAAGTCTAGCTCCGCACACCTCAGCTAAACCATCCGTTTTCCTTTCCTTTGAGAACTTCTATGCTCACTTCCTGCTTTCAGAGTTCCAGGCTGGCGGAAAAATTAGTTGCTCAAACGGCAAGCCTCCTATAAACCTCCTGTAGGAGAATTTAAAAGCAGAGAGTTAAAATGAATTGTTTTGTCAGAGCTTTATAAAAAGAAAATGCAGGGGGAAAAAAATCACATGCATAACAATATCTGTTTAACTTACACCCTTTGGGGAATTTCTCCAAACTTGATCTGGTTCATATGTCTTTTTTTCTTTACAATGCTTTCTGAAGGAACTTGGACTCTTCCAGTGGTAAAGGGAGAAATGTGTGAAGATTGCAAGCATCTTCTATATTCTTTTTGGCATAAGCACTCGTGTCCCATATAGTGTAGAAATTCAAAGGAGGTGGTTAATAACTTTAATAGGTAATACAGTGTGGCATTTAGTGATATGGAGGGCGAAGGTCGTTACAGATTTTAAATGAACTATTATATGGCTGGTTCCTGAAGCACTGCTGTGTATTTAATAACGAGCTTCTAAAAGCATTTCTTAAGTTGCAGACCTATAAGATTACAAATGTCACTCATGTTAGTATAATCCACATGCAAGTGATGAAGCCTTCTCTTTGATGTGCTAAATTGGAGAAGGACTAATGGAGCTATGAATATACAATAGAACATATTTAAGTAGTAGTCTTGCTTTAGGTAAAACACTTTCTTGAAACCAGAGGCATTTCAAACAATAAAACCCGTCTCTAATGGGGATGCTCTGTGTGGATAGAAAGCTACTAAAAACACTCAGGTTTATTCTGATGTGAGCAGTGATTGTACTTCCTTCCCCAACCCCAGCATAGCTTAGGAAAAAGAAAAAAAAAATCCACGAGCTTACCCACCTTTCATCCATTGCATTTGTGATGTTATTAGTGAGGTGTACACCACTCTTCTGAAAGGACTTAATATTAACCACATCATGGAGCAAGATGGTCCCAGTCCCTACAAGCAAGTGCAATTACAAAATAAAAGCAAATGCTACTGAGCCTTGCTGAACTCCTGATAAAAAATTATGTTTATGATACATATAAATGTCTCAATCATGCAAATTGTCACTCTTGCTAATGAAACAATTTTGTAAAAAGATTGTCCTCTAAAAGGGTTTAATGTTTTTTTTTTTTTTTAACCTATCTAACTGTCTAGTTAGATTTACACATTCTGCAAAGCAGGGGAGCCTGAAGCCTTTCCAAACCAAATCGTTTGCCACAGAAACTATTTCCAGCTCTTCATGATTTATTAGGAAATAGTTTAACACGGACTGTAGTGTCTTATAAAATACAAAATGAGAAAACTGTCACACCAAAATGAAGCCTGTGAAATTGTCATCCTCTTAATATTAACTATATTTAAATTCTTTTTCTTTTGCCCTTATTAGCACTGATATTTGAAACAACTAATCATCTAAAATGAAGCTCTTAAATTAAATGGCTTCAAATGTCAATACAGTAAGATTCTAATGTACAATACTATTTATATAAAATATTTCTTAAAGCCAATAAATTATATAATAAACAGTGAATCCAAGAGCTATGTATCGACAGTTCCCATATAGCCTAAATAATTGTATTTAAATTATGAGGCGGTGTTTCAGAGACTCCTTCCCTGGGGAGTTCAATCCTGGTTGCTCCCCCCACCCACTTAGTTTGAGAGCCATTGGAAACACAGACCATTTACAAGTTAATGTTACTTGTGGCTTTGTTACTAAAACTCACCTATTGTCAGTCCAGCCAAGTCACAGAAATGCTTATTGCAGTTAAATAGCAATTTGTTTCCATGAAACTGCAATTAAAGTATTACTGAGCAGCCATTTTAGATTGGCAATGCTCTGAATGCATGTTAAGCAGCCAGCGACTCCCACTTGCAGAGTCTGAGGTCTGACTAGCAGCAGAGTGTGTCTCATGCACCGATGTTGGGTACCGAGCTAAGATGCATCTGTGGCCCTCCCGTTCCTACTGTGAACATGCTGGGAGCGATGACAAGTCAGGGCCAATTTTTGGAAGGAGAACTTGCGACTTAACTCAAGTGAATACTATTTTCAGTTGTACAAGAAGTGCTTTATACTAGTAGATATGTGCATGTTTCCTAGAGGGAATGTTTTCAAGTTCAGATTGATTCTGCTGAGAATGGACTGCAACTTGGAGGCCTCAAGCCAATAATGTACTACAGGTCCTGACATGTTACAGCTGTGTAAACAGGGCCATTCTCTCTCCTAAATCACAACTAATAAAGCATAGGATGAAAATCAATTGATTCTGTTATAAGTTCTTTGAATGACACTGGAAAGTTGTTTAATGACTCTCTGTTAAAATGAACCAGCCTGAGTTGAGCCACCAAAGTACTGACTTCAGTTGTCTCTGTCCCCTCAGAAACAGGGCAGGACAGCCTTTCCTGAGCATAAGCATCCCTATCACCAGATGAAAGACTGCTGGGGAGGGGAAGGATCTGAACTGAATTCTTCCTGCGCACCTACAGTTCAGGATTTGTTGAGTGAGAAAGGTGAAGTGCAAAGGTTTTATTGAAAATGGGAAACATTGATGTAAGATCCTGAGAGGGGAGAGGATTTCAGAGGTGGTGTTTTAAAATGCAATTAGCACTGCATTCTAACCAGCTTGGGAACAATCATTAGCTCACGAGAACAGGAGGCATCTCACCTTCCTTCAGCCTAGAAAGATCCACTTGCTTTGAATCAAAAGATTAACATCCTCAACTTTTTCAAAAACAATTTTCATATCTATAGGTGTTTGCCTGTGTTGAGTTGTAATTTTTTTAAATGTTTTTAAGAAAACATTAAAGACTTTCTTCCTAAATTAATTTCTCATTTTTAGTGAATTGAATGTTTTAGAAACTGTAAAGAGAAAATCTGAGGACAAATTGAATTTACAAATGAAGATTAATTATGAAACCTGAAAAGAAAATGGATTGCTTGGCTGCAACTGTCTAACTTTTTTTTTAAAAAAAATAAGGTTTGGTAGGGATGAGTGTGTCAAATTCTGAATACCATTCTAAGGCCTCTATTTAAATTTCTGTTATCAATCATGGGACTTTACATTGCCTATAAACCTTACATTTTTAAATATACTGTTTAATATAATAACTTTGTCTCAGAGTTACATAAAGCATTGTAAGTGTATTTATACATAAACATTTACAGTGAACAAGTACTTACACATGCAATCTCATTCAGTCCTCACAGTAATCCTTTCAATTATTATTAATTACTTCAGTTTTACAGATGAGGTAATTGAAGTTCAGAGAGGTGATTTATTAAGCAGAGCCAAGGCTAAATTGAGTGGGCACTCACTTGGAGTGTAGATATTAGGGTGTGCCAAAAAAAATCTTTTAGTTAATGTTTGAATGCAGTTTAAAAAAAAATAAAATGAATGCAAAAAAAACCCATGATGAACAAAATATCATCGTTTAAAATAAAGGTCATATTGGTATTGCTTATTTTCCTTTTGCCTCAACCTCCAACATGGCAGGTCAATTTTATTAAGACCGAAAGTACTAGAATTGCTTTTTGAACTCTGGCAATTTGGGGCATTTGGGTAGACTTGCCTTACAAATTGTTAGAGTGCAACAATGATATATTTCATTCTATGAGCTATAACTAGTTTCTTTTCCCTTAAAAAATTAAAGCATCATGCTTTACCTTTATCCACCTGAAATGCCAACTCATTCAGTTTGCCTACATATTTCAGCCTTGCTCTAAAATAAATACTTTTGGGTCTTAGGGAATCTCGGCTACTTCATGATGAATTATTAAGTGTAAATTGATAAGAACTCTGCCCACTAGTTGTTGCTGAGAAAACAGAGCAAGACTTAATAATCATATCAGTTCAGAAAGCAAAATGAAGAAATACACTTCATATAAACTAGTAAATGGTATGTTTAAAATGTTTGAATGAACTGTGACTTGAGCCACATAAAAAGCCAATGAGTTAGCTTACATAAAATTCATTGTATACTTGTAAAAGTATAAAAGATCTCTCTCTCTCTCTCTCTCTCTCTCTCTCTCTCTCTCTCTCTCTCTCTCTCTCTCATGCTTTCTTTTGTTTTCAGGGCTGGATATCAAACCCAGGGCTTTGTGCATGCTAGGCAAGCACTCTACCAACCCCAAGCATGACAATTTTTATAGAAAATTTTAACGTAGCCTAGCATATGTGAAAAACATACATACCATGAAAGAACTAATATTTATATTTGTTGTTTTAAGATCGGAGAGCACTGAGGTATTCAAATGGAACAGATTATACTTTTAATTACATCCAAACAATTCTAAGCTGATTTTTAAAAATTTGTTGGCTGTAGTTCCTATTTTCTCATTAATTGCTAGTCCAAAAAGATATCAAAATTTGTAAATAAATTACTATAACACACCATTAGCTCTAAGTTGCTTTTATTACAAGGAGAAAAAAAAAACAGTTAAGAAGCCGGGTATGGTTGTGCAGGCCTATAATTCTAACTCAGGAGGAGGCTAAGGCAGGAGGATCACAAGTTCCAGGCCAGCCTCAGCCATTTAGTGAGACCCTGTCTCAAAATAAAAGATGAAAAAGACTGGGATATAATTCAGTAGTAGAGTACCTCTGGCTTCAATCCCCAGGATCACAAAACAACAACCCTCAATACCAAAAAACACTTAAGGAAAACTGTCTCCTCCACTTTAATAAAACATTCTTTGATGTTGACATAAAGGTTAAGCAAAGAAGACTTTTTTTCCCCAACCCTGGCATGGACTCTCGACTATAGTGAATTTTGATGCCAAAGTACTAGTTCTCAAACTCATAATTTTTTCTGTTATTTTCACAGAGTATCCCAATGGCCCTTTCCAGGCTTTTAATCTTTCATTCTACTATGTACAGAATAAGACTAAAGTTAGCCAATGTTTTTTTTTTTTTTTTCCCAGCCTGAAGTCTAAATTATCCATCTCATTGAATCTTCCTTAGGTTGGAAGGCCCAGAAAATATGCATGAATCAACACACTTATAGATTCAAACCACAAAATTCCAAACTACAGAGCATCAGTAGTAAATAGCAAAACAATGTGGGGCTTGTTATGTGTATATAAAACCTAAGTTCATGAAATCAGGAAATCTGTTAACAAGAAGAGGTAGTGGGCAAGATTCACACCAGGTAGTGAGGCTGCAGGACTCTGTGCATGACCACTTGGTTATATACTACTTTATCAAATGACCAAAACCACATACATTCCAGTTTTTCAATAAATGCCTTTTCTGTACCCAGAATAAAAAAAAGTGGTATGAACAGTTGCCTGAATAATGTTTATTGATTTGGGGGGGAGGGAGGGGGGTCTTGCTCATGGAATTTAATTTTCTCTTAAAATGTTTTCTCTTAAAATTCTAGGGTATGGGGAAATTCCTATCATGAATAAAAGTGGGTAGGGAGATTGGAAGGAATGATTGCCTTGCTCTTGTGGGGAGGTTAAGGGGCTGGTCTTGCTGTGGACCTGGAAGTAGACTGAAATAGGCTCCCCCAACACCCCTGGCACACACCTCGTTTCAAAGGCTTTGTTTGTCTTATTTCAACAAGACTCCGCCACACTGTACAGGTGTGGCCACCATGCTGGTAAACTCAAAGTATGCTTTTGTGCACTTCAAGCCTATGCAAGGCTATGCTATCAGGAGGTCTCAGCCATTAGCAGTGTTGGCAGTTTTAAAAAGTTGATGTGATACAGTGTTTGGTGATCCTTCACCAGTGTGTCAGGGAAAGCAGAGGTGAAATGATAATTGCAACAGCAAAAAAAAATCAAACATACAAACAAACGAACAAACAAAAAAACAGACTTCAATGTTCCTGATGAAGTTTGGGGTATCACTGTAGAAATAAACCTCACCTCTAGTTTCTTTAACAGCCTCTGGAAGTGAAATCCCCCACTTCTCTGAGACTGGAGCAGAGGCAGTAGGGGCTGGCAGAGGTGGAGGGACCAGACTTAAGTTTTCTGGTTTGTTAGTGACTGAATCAGGCAGCTAAACAGCCCTGATTTTCAAAGAACAGGCAATCCTAAATGGATTTCTGACACTGAGGTGTTTAGCTAGGCCTCTCTTCATGGGGATGAGTGTAATTCACAAACCTCCACCAGCCACCTTGTGCTCTAAGCAATTGTTTTTTTACACTCTAAGTAGGAAAACATGTTTTGAATTTTTTAAAAAAATGGGGAAAGATTCTGGCTGGCTCTGGAGCTCACAAAAACCAGTCTTTGCTATGGGCCAAGTACAGGTGTAACTATAATATTTTTCTCCTTAAGTTGTGTTCTGTGTTTTTTTGGCCTGGAATTTGATTTCCAATTGGCCTACCAAAGGATTTTGCCTCTGGAATCCCCTTGTTTTGCATGCAGATGGCATGTTAATGAACTCATTACTGTGCATTTTATCCAGCTCTGGACACATTTGTGACATTATTTTTCAAAACAAAACGGGGCTAGGCAGTTGGTTGGTTGGGCCTGATGAGAATTGGGTGACTCAGTTAAAAAAAAAATGATTTTCAAAGAAGTACCAACCTACTCAGATTTTTTTTTTCCTAGACATTCCTTGAAACAATTTCTCCCCACAGAAAAAGTAATTTGATTTCCCTGCGTTTCTAATCTCTGACACAACTATGTGCCTTCCAATGTACATGATCAATTTTCATTCTAAGGTTAGATAATTTGGGACTTTCTTTTTGATTCCTTGGGTATTATGAGCATTTTGTGAATTATTATTTTTAGGTTAGGGCGCTATCTTACCAACCAAGGGAGAGTCAGTACTCATTGTTTTCTTAAACAGAGTGCTAGCTATGAAAATTAACAATGGAATGTTTACCTCATATTCTTTTCTTTGTGCTTTTAGGAGGAAGGTATCCATGTCTCCCCTTGCTCTCCTTTTATTTAAAGAATGTCATACTGCTCCTATTGCTCTGCAGTGTGAAAGACTTGGGAGTCCGGGAACACTTGGAATCTAATTCCAGTCCTGAAGGGAAGTCAAATGGCAACTCTGATTAAATTTGTCTTTCTAATCAAATATTAGCCATGGGCTAATCATTTAATCTCACTACCTTATTTTGCCCATCTGTTAAATAGGAATTCACCAATAACAGCTATGTTTGCCAATACATGTATTCATTAAAGGTAAAAGGGCTTTATATTCTGCAGATGACACCCTTTCAGGTTGTAAATACCGATGCACCAGAAAATTAGTAACTTCTCTAATGTAAGGGTTAATAATAAAGTCTTCCATTCACTTGAAAATGATGA